AGTATAATGTTAAAAAGTCTAGTCTATTCGGTGCATTGTTTTCACGGCTAGTGTTATGCTGATTTACCTGGAACCGTGGTCCAGTGGATAAAACTTAGGCTTCTATGACACTGGGTCAAGTCCGGTTGAGCGAAGTAAGTATCTGGATGGGTGACCTGAAACTAATACCTACTTAAATTTTTTTACAAGTTTTATCCCGTAATTTTCAATCGATTACGATTGGTTTTGATTCATTTTAAGAGATAATTATTTTCGTTATTCAGAAAGTTTAAATTGTTTGGAAGTGGAGATGACCGATGAAAGTGTGAACCCAAAGCAAAAATTTTATTCGAAAATGAGGTTTAGGCCTTCATTTGCTTATTTCCCATATATTTTCTATAAAAAAAGCCTGACAAAGCAACATTCTAACACAAATGCAACAAAACATCTTTGTACAATTAAAAATAACGCTTCAAACAGGCATTTTATCATAGTACATCAGTTTCTAACTGTTTAAAAAAGGTTTTGAGTGTTAACCCACAACGAAAATTGTGATCAAAACTCATACGAAAGTCTAGTTTTTGGCGCTTTTTGCCATTATTGCTCATTATTGAAAAAAAATTCCTCTTAATTGAAAGATCGTTGAAAATTAGAAACTGCCGGACATCTAATGCGTGCCTGGCTATGTCCATTTTTTTCCAATTGCCACGAAGAAAGCCGTTTGTATTCTAAGCCAAGTAAAAACAAATACATCAAAATTATCAATCTATTAAGCAGAGGAGAGTTTCGTGAAGTTTCTTTACAAACTAGAATACTTCAAATCTTTTTTTCTTCCTTCGGTTTTCTTCTTAAAATCAGTCGTTTTAGTGGAGAAAACGTCGAAAATTAGAAACGGCCTGGCATTTAATCCGGAGTAAGTAAATACCACGCCGAGGTCAAAATCAGATCGAGAATAGTTTGAAGTGCCTTTACAAAGATGGGATAGGAATATGTGGACCGCGTAGCACTTATGAAATACAAGATATAGAAATATAGATAAGTTATAGTGCTTAGGAAGATGGGATACTTGAATTATATAGATTAGAATTCGTTCTAGTTGAGAAATCGCAGAAAACTAAAATAAGGTCCTCTAGAACTCAGTTTCGATCGGGTAACTACCCGGGCTAATCGTTTAACTATATTTGCAACAACTTGTTTCTTTTATGCAACAACTCGTCTAACTTGCAATTAATGCATGTCCCTTAGCCTCCTCCGAAGGCTACTCCATACATTTTATATTCTCTGTTGGGATCCCTGTATTAATTTTTATAGCAGAGAAGAAATGCGAACGAGAGAAGAGGACGAATAGGGACGTCTTTTTGTCCTTGCCACAGGAAGCCCAAGGAGCAAAAAGGGCAAAGGAGATGCCTGTGTGGATGAGGCTACATATCCCTAACAGTGAACCACCGTACGATACTCACCAAATTCACAATGTTTTCCAGTATAGTTTTTGGGGCATAAGCATTTGTAGTTATTCCCTATTTTTTCACACGATCCTCCATTTAGACAAGGTTGGTGTTGACCTTCACACGGTATTATCTCTAGAGAAAACGACAGAATAAATATCAATGAAAGTCTACAGAATATTATATATTATTATATTATATTTAAGGAATGGATCATAAGTAGCGTGCATCCATCGAGTTATGGATGCACGCGGGAGGTTGCTAAGCACGAAGAAAAGCGTAAGAGTTGCAC